ACCATCGACGATGGAACGTTTGTGTTTGAAAGAGTGCGGGTGTTCGGTTGAGAATTTGCGGCAGAAGACCCAGCGAGTTCATCAACATAGGAAACAGTAACGATGCGGTCTTCGTTGGTGTGTTTGCACCCTCGCAGTGTGACTGAATGTACCTGTCTGCGTTGAGAGTTCGAGGCGATGTCTTTGGATGTGCTATTGTGCGCAACAGAAAGAGAACAGTGTCAGTGTGATGTCCTTGCACAAACGCTTAACCAAACAACGAACTGCTGGAGAGTAGATGAGGAAATTGGAATAAGATATAACCTTAGTATATTTGATAATTCACTTGTGAGCAGCTCCGATAATGCCGTTGATACTTGTGAGCGAATCGTCTCTTTCTCTATCCCCTCTGAATTTTCGCCATCTGAAGACGCGCCTGAACCAGGGGAAGAAGATCCATTCGTGACCGAGATCGCCGGTGCCGAACATGCTAAGTCATGCAGATTGGTGTCGTTGATTTCCGGTTTCCCCATGCTAATGCTCTTCTTTACACGATGTCTTATAAACGGCAAAAACTTTGAAACCCGCTTTTTCAATCCAGCTCCATCACGTTGTTCAGCTGCTGGTAAATCGCGTTGCTCTGGTGGTGGCGGAGATGCCGGTGGTGCTTTGGACAAACGACAAATAAAAAATGATGTCCGATTGTGCACATCATGAGTATCGAGCTCTCTTGTATTTTGATGCCGGATGCAGCAGCGCGGGATTGAGCCTACCTGGAGCATTTGGGACTGACGGCGATGATCCTTTACGACGATATGACAACAAAACCTGATCTGCGGCAGCTCGAGCAACACGAACAGTAATCAGTTCCAGAGGAGTCCCGGAAGGATCGTTTAGTGCTTTCTCTTCGAGTTCCTGGAAGGTATGGCTAAGCAACAACCGTAGGCGTGGTGTGTATTTTTAGTTCATGAGTTTCGATACAAAAGCCAAGGTATCGTCCGAATTAGATCAACATCACTTGATCCTCCCCGAGCAAGCTAAAGTGACGGGGTTTGAAACCCCCTTCAGATATTCGGTTTCCTTCTGAAAACGTCACTCAAGAAACTTCCTTCGCACTGTCCAACTTTGACAACTTTACAACTCACCTTTCTCTGAACTCTTTGTCGGCCGTAAACAGACAAAACGCCTCCAACTCCGAGCTGGCAAGGAATTTGGCCTCCCATCTGTTTCTTCGCCGTCGAGCCATCCCTCCAGCGGTGAGATTTGGTACCGCTGTTTCTGAAAACGCGTTGAGCTCTCTTCCCTCCCAAACAGGATACAGCTTCGATCGACGAGTATTTCGCGGTCGTTGATCAACGCAGTGGTATTATGTCGTGCACAATCGCTCGTTTCCGTGTCCGAATTTCAGGAAAGCCCAGGTCTGATTTGATCAGGAAAGAAACCATTCGCAAAATATGAATATGAGATAGCGGATACGAAAAAACCTGAATACGATGCAAAGAGTGTTCTCCAGATCTTCCCCAAAATGCAACACACAGGACTGGATATGTACATTACGTCTTCTTGAGGGTATTTTCGCGCGCTCAAACGTTGCGTGGGGAGAACTAATAGACAGCGATGCGGAATGAGATGAGATTCAGGAGTTCGTCCCCGTTTCGCGTTTTTTTTTTGTCCTCTTATTCCTCGTTCTCACTTTCTCTTCAAGCGCATCCCAAAGCCCATCAAGTGTCGGCTTACCTGCAGCGCTTTTTGTCGCACAAAGACGGCAACTGGGTGGCTTCCAATTCTGCCGAGCTCCTTGAACTCCGAAAGGCGGCAAATGGGACATGAGAAAGCAGATAAATCCAGTGAGGCCAAGAACTGTCACCAGCTAGTTGCCATCTAGTTCACCAACTCGCCAGCCAACTCTCCAGATTCATATAAGAAATTCGCAACATTTTGACAACACAACGTCCATCTCGTCCATAATGATTATGGGGCGTCTCGATGACAGGCAACCATCAAGCACTTGCCGGAGAGTCAAAACATGTCCATTTTCGCTTCCAACAGACCGATGTGCGTCAGCACCTGCTCGTCCTTGATAACACCACATATTTGCCACAAAATCTTTTCTCAAACGGACGCCACGACAAGTCGAAGAATGTTTATATATTTACATCTTGAAGTCATAATATAAATACGTTGCGTTTACTTTCCTGTACATGATAACCACATTCTCGTTTCGATACAGATCAAGAAGTGACTATCGCCCCATCACGATTGAAACAGACGCACTTCTGCTGCTGATTGAACACCCAAGAAGTCGCAGCCGCAGGGCATTTGGGAGTGATGTTGTAACGAGCGGTGTCCGTATCCTTGTTTGTGTTGTTTGCCGATGGACCCGTCACCGCCGGATTACAAACAAACGGGTCGTTGGATCTGATATATCTCGAAATCGCTAATTGGATATTGCTTCTCTTTTTTTCTAAATTCCCAAGCGATCGCGCTGTGTCGGCGCCAAGTCGGCCCGCGTCAATCAAAGCCCACATTGGTATCGTCTCTCGAACGAAAATTGAAGGATTGCTCTGCAGCGTTGCAAGCCAGCTCTTGAATACCTCCGAACCCCCATCAGTGCTGTTGCCTTTCGTGTCCGTGACATTCCCACCTAGCTGCAACGGAATGGACGGGGCAGGAGTCGTAAAGTCTTTGGATGTGGATTGCACATTCGACTTGCTTCTCGAGGATCCAACAACAGTTTCGTCGCTTTCGCATCTTTCGTAAGAGGCCTTGGCTGTTGCGCTGGCGAACAAGAGACCCCGCAAGGTCACTTCCGCTTTAGCTGCGAAACAGTTGGATTGTTTGTTGAGATCGAAGGTTTTGACGTCTTCTGTGTTCATGGTGAAAGTCTGCTGGATTCTCGCTTTCCCCCCGAGTGTGCCGCCGGAAACGATGTGGGTTCCGAAATTGGTGATGAAGGTTTGATACGCGGAGTCGTCAATCCTTCCGTCGCCGGATTTTGGGAACTCCTCTGGTAGGTTTCGCACACTATCCAAAAACCCCTTCTGAAAAACAAGCGAGTCCCCAGTGAGGCTAAAGCTTCCAAAGATGAAGTCGCTCTTCGCTTCAACAAATTGAACAACGTTGCTTGTTGAAATTGATAAGCTGTTTTGAACCTCGGTCGATTGCGAACCAGACACCTCCACACCGCCCTCGACACCCCATCCAACAGCCTGATATGAAGCAGAGATGCTCCCAGATAGCGAATTCGAAACGGAATTCTTCACATCGGTTACAAGGGATCCGACATTGCTGTATTGAGACGACGAAAACGAACTGTCTTGTTGGCTGGTTGTAGATGTGTACTCGGCGTTATCAGGGAGCTGGTAGAACCCGCCGTTGCCATCGTCGACGGTTTTGCATTTGCCAGAGTAATCGTTGTTCTCGAAAGGGTTTGCTCGAAACTGCAGCGTCACGGCGTCAATCCCCGTGAACAGCAATCCGTTGCCGGGTAGCGGTCGCCCTCGCCCGAAATCGCTATTTTTGAAGATGCACACGTCTTTGCATGTCAACCTGATGCCGACCTTGCAAGGAACCAAGAACACCAAGATGAGGATTGTTCCGAGAATAACGATCGACCCGACGATGATAAAAATCCAAAAACGCCGCCATATATTATACAGAACGTCGGCGATTTTCTTGCCGTTCATGCCTGTGCTGCTGTTTGGTTTTGCCATGTTGACGTGAGGCGGACGTAGAAGGTAGATGTGGGCTGTATTTTCTCTAATGGGATCTGTCTGCCTGCAGGATGGCGGCCGACACAACACTTCAGGTTTCCAACAACAACGTCTGCAACAAAGTAGTGTGTATTTATCTTTGGCCCAGGCTTTTGGCCGTCATGTTCGCCTCGAGTCTTGATATCAAGTGTATATCATTTCCCCTGTGTCAATATTATGCATTTTCCAACATAAAAAGGCGGGTACCGTCAACGTTGATCAGGGTTCCTTGTCGTCCCCAAAAGGCGCATATGCAGACAACTTAGGTTGCCCGAGTACAGGAGTACCTCTGGAGCACTCAGAGTTGCTTTCTGGTTGCTTTCATCTGCGCGCACGCTCGAATGCGTCGACAACGGCTTGGCAACCGGAATCCATCTGGTTGCTTTCATGCGCCCACTGGCCCACTAGCCTGCCAAGCTAGCTCACCACTACTACCACACCAGCCCATTCTGTGAGCGACAGCCTCGGTCCTGGCCTTGGTCTCTTCCTGGGTCTCTTCCTTTCCTCACACTAACACAACAGACTTGAGAAAACGTCTTCGAATTCTTCGAGACAAGGAGGCCTCGATTTTATCGTTCCTGAACTACAGAGTTTGCCAAATAATTCATCGTCCTTCGACTAGTTTAGTCAGCTTCCTTTTATCCTCGTCCACTCTGATTGCCCCGTTCGTTTGGAATGTTTACATAGTTGAACTCACTTTCCGGATGCTGGCAGCTGAATTACAGTAATTACTTCGCTCGAGTTTACCACAACTAGGAATCTTCAACCCTAAGTCCGTCTCGCTTTTCCATGCGCACCATACACCAACTAACGATAGATGTTCCACGGGCAGTTTCAACAAAGATTCCAATACCTTCCACGTAAACAGGAAACAAAAATGCCATGGGAAGAGAAACCCATGACCTGAGCTGAGGATATCATGACCACGTCGATGTTGGGTACCATAATGGTCCGAATTCGATGAGATTCTATAACATATCGCGGCCGTTGGATGATCTTCCAGAATAGCATCCAAAAAAAAGGCAAATGATGTCAAATAAGTTTAGTCGGTGCCAGAAGAGTCAGAAGCAGCAGATTATGAAAAGAAATCGGAAGAAGAGAAGGTGGAGATTGCAAAGACCTAGGATTTAGCGGCTGTTGCATATTGCTCGCGCCATCGTGCGCTGATCTATATCAAATGACATCACCGTGCTTGATTTCGGGCTCGTGGCAACTTGAAAAGGCTATCCACGTAAAAGTAGAAAGATCATGCAAGTTAGCATTAGGTAGCGAGCCCGCCCGGGATCGAACCGGGGACCTTTCGCTCCGGAGGCGAATATCGTATCCACTAGACTACGGGCCCTGTTGAATGACTTTTGTCTTTTTTTGCAGATCTCATGTGCTTTTAGGGCGCGAAAAACCCCCCTTTGGTGTGATTTCCACAGTGGTGACCTTGTGTAACATTGGATTTCCAACATGCTGGGTCAAAGATCCTCGCTGTGCAGTGCGCATCTGCACGCACTGGCACGCATGCAGACATCCCCATCAGTGCGCTAGGCTCATTTTGTTGTTGATTTGTGCTCTTGTTCAGGCTCTTGTTTATGTTTTGGATATCCCACACTGTACATGAGGGAAACGATGTTTGCTCAACATTTCACCCGAGCATACATCCTGTCCACGTCCTTTTACAATCACATCGTCAATACGTCCCAAATATTGTCGTAAAAAGTCTATTCCAAGTCAGATCCCAAGTCCATCCCGTACTTCGTAATCCACATATCTTTCATATTGTAAAAGAGATTTGAGTGCTCCGCTTCCTTCAAGAACGAGCTGACTTTTAATGGAATGTTTCGCTTAACTTAATTGCCCACACTTTACTATGATGTAGTCATAGGTTTTGAAATTGAATGGTTTTTATGGAATATCAGTTTTAACTGTTCGGCTTCTGCTATAATGAACTTTGTTGTTTGGCAGGCGAAATATTAAGAACTTGTTTATTGTAAGATTTCCTGTTTCCTTGTGACTGCATAGATCCAAAAAAGAAATGATGATAATCGAACATCCTCCAAACGCCAAACTGTTCAAAGACCGCTCCACCTACTTCCTCGTACCATCCCATTCTGCGCAATTCTCGGAAATTTTAAAGAAGTCCACCAACCACGCCCTTCTTCGGAGTGCAACCGTGCAAGACTACCAGGTCGACCTTGGTTCCAGGCCTTCTCCGCTTTCTTCTCCCTCCAAACGAACCGCGTCTCATTCGTTGCTCACAAGCGTTGATGCGAATTCAAACCATATGGTTGTCACTTGGATTTGGCCCAGGTGTTGGGGGCGAAGATTTCCACGTTGGAATTCAAAGGGGAGGTATCGAATACTTTTGGATCTCAAGGAAAACGGCACCAGGCCTCCAGAATCTCTTCGATGGGGTCTGGAGGCAGATCTTTCCAAGAAATCGCAGCGAGACAGGGTTTGTGCGGTGCGCTATGTAAGAAAGTGCACCAGATCTTCCATTCCACGGGAACGGTTTGAGGATGATTTGAAATCGCGTTCCAGCGCTTTCTTTAGCAGTTTCGTTGACTCCCTCCTTCACGCTGCCCCTGAAGCCTATGCAACTGGGGTCACATATGAATTGCCGCGCGCGCGTTTGCCGCCTGATACCCCAGCAGAGCTTCGAGATGATCGCGAACGTGCAACCATTGCTTTTCGGGATGGATACCCTTCTGAACCAACAATCTGGGGGTTTTATGCGTCGTGGCCAGCTTGCAGGCATGAACAATTGCAACGTTTTCAAACGCTTTCGAATCTGCGTCTGGACCTGCTTTTTTGAACAGATTACAGTAAGCTCTGTGGACCTGTTCCTGAGTCCATTTCATCCAATCTTGGCACATCGCTTTGAATTGGGTGTCCATCCCATTTCTCCCGAAAGACAATCCGCGTTACAAAGACGTGAGCAAGACGTTTCCGTCCATTGCGAATCTATGGAGAGCAATCTACCACGTTCAGTTGCCATCAGTGTTGACTCCGAAAAGTTCATCGAATTCCAAGCCAAAGTTTTCCCCAAGAAGTATCGGGCATAATCATCTGGAATTCGTTCACTGTAAGGGGAAACGGAGCGTATCTCTTTCCTCCACCAAACAGCCCTCACCCTACCCTTGCCTTCCTCCAGACCTCCCCACAAAAGCAATAATGTCAACTCAAAAAATGTATTACAGAAAAAGAAAGACGAATGAAAGACTATGGAACAACGAATGGAGCCCAAGCGATGGGACATGCGGCTCGCCGAAAAGAAGTGGTAGTGCGTTACAGTTACAGGAAGGGAACATTACAACCAAAATGCCAGAACACCAAAACATCTACATTCGCGACTGACCAAGAAAGTTTCGCGAAGGGTCACCCGACACGAGAAGGTGACAAGACCTCCTTGAAGGAACTGAGTTTCCCCTTGGAGAACCATCACTCGCACTTGGTCGTTGTCATAAATGAGACCTATCAACACTAAACGACCGAACCGCCTCCCAGATTGATCATCAGTTTAGGTGTCAGACTCTTTAATGTACCCGTTCTCAGTGGTGACCGTTCGCATGGCCGTTCCCGGTGGCAGCCATCTTTTGGGCCTTGTACTCCATAATCTCCTGGGCGATCATTCCTATATTGAAGCATAGACAGTCGAGTTAGATCTAATCCATAATGTGCCAACTTCCGAATCAAAAATGGTGCCACAACGAAACAACAAGGAACTTACGCCTCATTTCATCCAAGCTTTCCACACTTTCAAACCCAAAGTCAAATGCCCGTTCGTGCACCGGCTCGTCCTCGATGTCGTGGTACGCCTCAAGATACGGATGGGCGAGTGCCTCCTCCACCGTGATCCTCGCGGCTGGATCGAACTTGAGCAGTTTCTCCAAAAGGTCGAGAGCTTTTGAGGAGCGCATGGTTTTCAGAAAGATGACAGGAAGTCTCAGCGATTCCGTTCACCGGTGTTGCCATCCAAACCGGAGTGAAAATGAACAAGAACACCACAACTTCTCCTACGCTTTTCCAGGAATCAATATTTACCAAGCGCATTCGCCTTCGGGTACAGTTGTGAGAACGGGATCTTCTGCATCCGCGGCAAACTTCGAATGTACAGTTGAGCCCGTTCACTACCGATTCTGCTCAAAGTCTCATCATCCGGAGTACCGAGGATGGAGAGAATTTGGTTGAGTTGGTCGACGTCTGTGTGTCATGTTCGAGAGCGGATGGAAAGAGCAGTGAGGGGAATGGTCGTAATAATATCGACAAGGCGCTCATATGATATGACACTACAAGCAGTAACTTTGACAAAAGCTGCGACAGAACAGTAAAGGAGAAGACGAAGTACTTACAATCACGTCCCTTGAACAGGGGTTTGCCCCCGAGGAGCTCGGCGAATATGCAACCAACAGACCACATGTCAACTAAGAAGAACGGCAGGAGAGAGGACATCAGACTCCAAGTAGGCCAACTGGCTAAACGCTGGCAAACGCGTGTCAACAAACGAGCGATTCGCATGCTCGCTCTGCTTTACTTACTTGCTTTTGTGTAGCATCTGAAGCTGAGCATAATCTCAGGCGCACGGTACCATCTTGTGGCGACGTACTCAGTCATGAACCCTGTGTTGGCGTCGGGCGTTTCGGAGAAACCACGCGCAAGACCGAAATCACAAATCTGCATACCCATTGATAACAGAGTAAGCATGTACAAAGGGTAGGTGAGCCACATGAAGGAGAAGAGTGCTGTAAAGCATGTCGCAATATCTACGCCATCGCATATCGCCCAAGCCCCACTAGTGCCACACGCATCTTCTTCATTCTCAACCCCGATTTCTCACCTTCAATTCACAGTCGGCATTAACTAATAAGTTGCCGGGTTTGAGATCACGATGTAGGACATTAGCAGAGTGGATGTACTTGAGACCGCGGCAGATTTGGTAGATGAAGTACTGGAAATGAGCGTCGGTGAGGGGTTGTTCGGACCGTATAATTTGGTGAAGGTCGGCTTCCATAAGCTCTTGGACGAGATAGCTATACGGAGAAAGGATAAGTGACATTTAAAAACCATTCTCTGTCCCTTATCATCACGCATCGAGTTCAGGTATCATCGCGCATCGAGTTGAGGAAGGATATGACATGAATGGATGAAGGTGGGTTCATACTCACATTTCGTTGTAATCGTTGACATCCGTGATCTCCATATCTAGAATAGATGTAATCTGTATAGAGCATAGAGAAAAGGGTCAGAAAACTCTCTGTTCGTTGATATATACATTCACCCCTTTGAATGCAGAGATTAGAAAGACTGAAACTCACATTCTCATGCCCATTAAAGTGTCTTAGTAGCTTCAGCTCCCTCAGTGCCCTCTTGGCCAAGATGGACTTGTCGAAAATCTTGGTGACCTTCTTGATGGCCACTTCTTGGCCCGTCTCAATGTTCCGGGCGGCACTGATTAACGAAGCAAAAGCAAAGACGGAGAGACAATAACCATTAGAACGTGAAATACGATGCCAGATTTGTCGCTTAACTAAACCACTTACCATACGACCCCGTACGCGCCTTGTCCCAGCTCACGGATGAGCTTATACTTTCGGTCGATTAATGATGGAAACTGGATGGTCGGTGGCATGTTGGTGGTGTCGAGGCAGTACACGGGTTGGGGGGTGGGGGGTGTACTATTCTGCGTTTACTGCTGCTGCCTAAGAGCGCAGAATGAGCCGCCGTTGTCGTTCGTCTGTTCGTTAAGCTTATTAATATGATTCCTATTGGTTCGGTTCAAGTTCGGGAGAAGGAAGGAAATGGGTGGTGTGGGTGAGTTTCGTTGAAGAAATTTCAATGTGCCAGATGGAAAAAACCCACTCGTTCGACCCACACCAGTTCATGCACTCGTCGGTATGGGTTGGTGTAGTCTTTCCACACCATTACCCCTTCTCCCTTCTATGCACCCCACCTGCGTCACGTTGGAAATTCGCCCCTTCCACCACACCGTCCACTCTTCACGCGCTGTGTTGAGGTAAACACCAGTTCCGGGGACCTCTTTCAGCCAAATTCATGCCCATGAAGCCCCGCACTCACCGATGGAGCGAAACGGCCCCCACTCTCTCCCCTTTCCCGCCTTCTCCCACAAACGGAAGCTCATATGCACCCGTGCAATGCGACCCTTGCTACCCACCAACAGGGAGTCAAAGCATTTGGACAGCCGACCTCAAGCGGCTCGGTATACCTTGAATGCGGCCTTGGCAACCACGAACAATACTTACAAGAGCGTTTTCTTCGTTGTTGCTGACGGTTGAATGGCCGCTTTGGAGGCGTACTATTTACCTGCGTATGACAAGACCGTCAAATCTCGAACAA